CAAAAAAAAAAATAGTTTTGGATTAAAACCCCCCTTGCTCAGTTTAACTTAACAAAATTGAGTAGCTTGATAATGAAAAAGCTCCAGTGGGCAGTCCTCCTAAAAATATATTTACAGAGAAAAAAATGAATACTTGTATACAAACAGATAGCTGACACACTTTAAACATACAAAATTAAGTGTTCCGCCAAGGGACAAGCATCATAGCTAACCTCAATGGAGCCAATATTTGTTGCACCTATGGCTGCCATTGCCATAAAACCTTCTTGCCATTTACCTTCAAGCACAATCTGATAATAGGCAGAAATCACAAAAGAGAAAACACACATCATTTTGTTAGACATTGATAGTCACAGAGAGAATGAGCAAGAATAATCAGAAGAAAAAAAAATCAGAGGATATGGGAGGGACTAGGAATATGCAACTGAAAACAAGAACATTTTAACATTTGAAAGGAACAAACAAGTAAAAACATTCTATTAGGAGGACTTCTCTACAGGATTTGAACCCTGAATTCCAAGGTTTGCACCTACTTCATTGACCACTAGATCACACGTGGGACTACTATCGTCCTTATTGTGATACCTTGAGCACATATATTCCTTTAATTCAAAAAAAGTAGCAGGCTAATCAATCTCTGTACTCTTGATGCAATGGACTCCTTTGGTCCAACTGTCGGAAATTCCCAAATGAATTATTTAAAAGTAATGGAAAATGTCATTTGTTTTGCAAACAAAACGCAATTGGGTTTTCTTGCCCAATTTCATTCTATCCCAACCACGGTTAATTTCGTTGCTGGCAGACTTTTTCCTTCGATTTTGTGGTGATTCTCTTGTCTGGGATTTTTTTTTTGGGTGACTCGGAGGAAAATATATGGGAATTGCTTTTTACTCTAGTCACATGAAAAACACGTGATTTCTGTTAGTTTTAGTGGCCCCATTTGGATGTTCAGCCCATTGAACCAAAAGTGCTTAGTTTTAGCAAACTTAAAGGACCCTATATGCTCAAGATAATACAATAGGGACAAAACCAACCTTCAAACTTAACAGATGTTAATTTCAACTGGCTCACCAAGTTCTCCACAAAGAGGGACATACATGGCAGGTTCAATCATAACATTCCATGAGATTAAAAATTTATGCATAACTTGCTTCTGGTGCAAATAACAACAGCAATAACTACTTTATAACCTCTTTCGGAGAAGTCACCATCTCAAAAAGATCAAGAAAAAAATAGGGAATTGAACGCAACTACAGCATAGTTAATCAGAATTTACCCTTTCATTCTCCACGTAAAGATTTCTTATTGTCCTGGTAGCTCGTTCATTCATGGGAAAGAGACGACCTATCAAACAAATGAACGGAATAAATAAACCACCGGTAGGAAATTGAATAGGAAGACTTTACATGCATCAAATTTTCTTTTTCAATTGGAGGAGATGGTGACACTCGAAGCGGACTGTTGCTTTGATATCAAGTTAAATTGATCCCAAAGAGGTTGAATAAATATTTTTTAAAAAAAAAAAAAAAAAGGTCAGCCCGGTGCACAAGGCATTCCGCGTTCACGCAGGGTTCGGGGAAGGGCCGCACCCCAAGAGGTGTGATGTAAAGAGCCTACCCTAATGCAAGCATTAGTGGTTGCTTCCACGGCTCGAATCCGTGACCTATAGGTCAGAAGGAGACAACTTTACTGTTGCTCCAAGGCTCCCCTTCCTTAAGAGGTCTCTTGAATGAATCTAAAAAAAAATATTTAGCCAATTGGACACTCTCACTACCAAGTCACATAATTCCTTTACAGGTGACTCAACCACACTGAGTGGCCTTAAGTTTGGCAAATTGATGTGTTAATACATTTTCCTATCGGGTACAAGTATCTGATTGTGTACAAACACGATGGTCATTATAGTAAAGTCCTCTACGTTAGTTTCAGTCACATAATATCTTTTCATTATCATATGAAATACGGTTAGAATATGCATGAAAACAGAGAATAACAGTAACCAACCCTCATGTGTTGAAGACACAAATACAGATATACCGGACTATCAATATCGACTAAATGAGAGTGTGGCTGACAAGGTAAAAGAACAAATCAGCCACAGTTTTCTAGACCCCTTTTGGGGGGGAAAGGATAGTGGGTAGGGCTAATCTTTCCCCCATATTAGTTTACTCACTGGTAATCATTCCATGTACAGGAATTGGGGAAAAAAAGGGCTTGAACTACAGGGATCTGATACCTGGCTTTCTTGGTATAAGTAGTTGTCTATATAGGCTGACAACGTTTCCTAGGTTGTTTCGGTATCAATAAATTATGGTAGCCAAAAGATCCTTTCTGCATGACCGGCGTATCCTTTCTATATCATTGAAACATGACTTTTTTGGGCAGGGTGGGGTAAAGGATGCGAGGTGAAGCGATCAAAAAGATAGGACAAATAGAAAACGTCACAAACAATAAGCCTAATATTGTGGATGAACTCTTTTTAACCAATGGATGCAAATGTGAAGACTTACCAGAGAAATGTCGACGACCAAGAACTTTCCAATCAACTGGTGAGTGTATGCGATGATAATCTCCAGGTCTCAAGTAAATCACACAGTAAAAGAGACCTTTCATTGGACTGCAATAAGTCAACTTTCAGTTTCAAATTAAGTAGCATTCTCTCCTTTATCACCAAGAAATTATTACCAAACGCAAACAAAAAGTAGAAAACATAAGGAAAGAAAAAAGGTTCACCTGATGACCGAGTACTACATGTTAGGCATCTGCTAACTAGATATAATTTGTCTAGTAGTATAGATGATCATTCCCATAAAAAGATGTATGTCGTCCAGAATGGTTTAAGAATCAAAATATACAGTTTTAAAGGAGTACTGGACATAGAGCTTTTTTTTTTTGGTGGAAAATAAGGAGATGGAAGAAGGATCCTAGAGAAGATCAACAAGTGCCTTGGCAGTTTTTTATATTCAAAATGATTAATTAAAGGAAACAGACATTTTCATAATACACTTGAGGTGTTAACATGTTGTGGTATATTATAGATATCCTCACAGCACACAGTTTAACATTCATGTGATTACCAAGCTGGTGCAGGATCTCGGACTTTGGGAGAAGCCAATGAAACTCTCCACCAAGACTTTTGATTTGCATCATCCGTAGAACCTTCTTGCCCACCATCTTCATTTTTATTGTCATCAACCACAGCCATGGGAAGAAGGGAGCTGGCACCAAGAAGTGAAGAAGCAGAATAAGTGAATCCTTTGACTTGCTCAATCATAGCCCCAGCTTTTTTCAACTCGCCAAATTGGAGAACAGTACCATCAACTGGACTAACCTACAACCATATAAACCAACTCAAAAAGGTCAGAATATTTGATAATCTGCAATATTTTGAAACACCAAGAGAACCGAGAGATAACTAGGAAGCTGGTTACCAGTTACCAGACAACAGGGATTGCAATCAATAGGTCTGGTACCCTCTTTCAATCTTCTGACAAAAAACTCCCGTAAAGATGCATATTCTTCCAAAGGCAAAGCTACTTCTTCCAAGTCTGGATTCAAAAATGGAGTTCTCTAAATATTACCATCATCAAAAGCTTATCTTTACATTCGCAATGTGTCATAGAATAAATATGAAAATCTAAAGCATCAAACTTGTAAGAAGAATGTTCAGAGCATCACGAAGTAGAAACTAGAAATACTGCTTACTTGAATGAAATGCCCGAGCCCATCCTTTATATGCATATGGGCGCAGCCACATCGGAAGTTCCTGGTAGAGCATTGCATGGAGTCAAATTGATCCAGAACTTTTGACGAATCTTCTGCTATTTGAAATTGCTAGAGACTTACCACACTGGTCAAGGTACCCCAGAATCTAGAAATGGAGCGTAGTGGAAGCAATCTCATGAAAGTAGCCTACAATTGAGAAGGAAAATTATTTCCAGTAAGTTCAACATGAAAAACTGCATAGAATAATGTGGCAAGCTGAAAGATTAATTGCATAGGAAATAGAAATGCGTTCTTACCTTTGCATCAGGCCGGAATTCTAAAGCTCCCTTTTCTCTTGCCTCTTCAACCTGCGACTCAAAGAGGATTAGGAATGCTCCATGGGAGAAAACATAATATCTTAACTTGATGTCATCTGATTTTGCACAAACCAAAATAGAAACCCAACAGGCAATAGTTTGCTAACGGCATTAGATTTATGAGTTAGAACAATACCTTTTGATCATCATAAAGACGTCGGGCATGGAGAAGACCAAGCATAACTATAGTTGCGACTGTTGCACCAGGCAATAAGAGATTGCTACCTGCATACCAGTAGCCTCAAATCTCAGCTGCTGTGCCGTATGATAATATTGGGATAGGTTAACAAGTAACATGATTAAGCACTATTAAGTTATAATCTGATGGAGCATTATATATAGTTTTAAAGTTAAGGAACTACCAGTCCTTATTAATGGAAGCCCGGTTGGCTTTTTCTCTCCACAGAAAGGGTTAAGACAGGGAGATCCCTTATCCCCCTTCCTCTTCATTCTAGCCATGGAAGGACTTAGTCAGATGCTAGACAAAGCAACGCAGCTACAATGGATAGAAGGGTTCAGTGTTGGAAACTCTTCAATAGATTCCATCTCAGTTTCACACCTATTATATGCAGATGACACAATAATCTTTTGTGGTGCTAAAAGGTCTCAGGTACAATACCTCAATCTCACTCTACTCATATTTGAAGCAAGCCTACATATCAATATGTTAAAGAGTGTAATATACCCCGTCAATGAAGTCCCCGATTTGGAAGCTTTGGCTGCTATCTTATGATGTGATACTGGTACCTTTCCAACTACTTACTTGGGCCTCGCCTTGGGGGCTAAATACAAATCAGCTGATGTGTGGAATGGAGTCATTGAAAAGGTAGAAAAAAGACTGGCAACATGGCAGCTACAATACATTTCAATGGGTGGCAGATTGACCTTGATAAATAGTGTCTTGGACAGCATTCCAACCTATTGCATGTCACTCTTTCCTATGCCTAGTAAGGTCTTAAAACAACTGGACAAAGCCAGAAGAACCTTTCTATGGAAAGGTAACTCTGAAGCTCATAAGTTCCACCTTGTCAAATGGTCAAGAGCAATACAACCTAAATCCCAAGGTGGACTTGGAATCAGAGACCTAGCAAAGCACAACAAGAGCATGCTAATGAAATGGCTAGGGAGATTTGGAGATGAAGGCTCCAACTTATGGAAGGAGGTGGTTGCTGCCAAACATAGACAACAAACCCACTGGTGCACTGAAAACAACAGAGCACCTCATGGAGTAGGCCCTTGGAAGCACATCAGCAGCCTGTGGGAGGAATTCTCACAGAACATATCATTCAAGATTGGAAATGGGTTACATGTCAAGTTCTGGAAGGATAAATGGTTAGACACAAACACACTGAAGGACAACTATCCATCCTTATATCAGATAGCCAATGCTCCAAATTCAACAATAGCTCAAAACAGATCAGAAGGAACTTGGGACATCCTGTTTAGAAGGAACATGCAGGACTGGGAACTAGAAAGTCTACTGGAACTGTATGGAAGACTTGGGAACTTCTCTATGAATGAGCAAGCATCAGACAAACTCAAGTGGGGTAACTCTGAATCAGGCTCTTACAGTGTGAAGGTAGGCTACAAACACTTCTGTGAGCAAAATGAAATCATCGACTCTTGGCCTTGGAAACTGATTTGGAAGACAAAACTGCCCACAAAAGTCATCTGCTACTCATGGACAGCTCTAAGGGGAGCTTGTCTCACACAAGATAATCTCTGTAGAAGGAGTTTCCAACTAGCTAATAGATGCTACATGTGCCAACAAAACTCAGAGTCTATTAACCATCTTCTTCTTCATTGCCCAGTAGCCACTTCCATGTGGTCTATGTTTTTTTTTCCATTATGGGAATAAGCTGGACCGTACCTCAGGGCATTAAGGAAGCAGTTGAAGGGTGGAACAGGTGGAATGTTGACAGAGCCATCAGGAAAATCTGGAAGATGATCCCTCCTTGCATCTTTTGGGTTCTTTGGACAGAGAGGAATCGTAGATGTTTTGATGGAGTTTCCACTACTCCTCATTTTTTGAAAGCTAAAGGTCTAGTGTACCTTTTTAGTTAGAGCAACCTCACCCCTGTAAATAGCGTTGCCTCCTATCTAGATTTTATCAGTTCCCTTACTTTGACTTAGGCCATACTTTCGTTCTTGTGTTTTTTTGTTGTTAGCTCTCCGACTGGAATTGAATCACATTGTAATGGAGCTAACACTTTCCTATTTTGTATTTCTGCATCCTCTAGATGCCATCAATGAATCATCTTACTTCATCAAAAAAAAAAAAAATAAGGAACCATGAATCAGATTGAATTTTCAGCAGTTCACAATAGCTATTCTGGGCAGGTAAAATATTACCATGAAAAACCCCATCAGACACGAGCCTTACATACGACCATAGTCAAATCAAAATCTCTAAAAAATAAAAAATAAAAATAAAAAACAGGAGGAGACCTCCAGTAGGCACAGCTCACTCCAGCTATCAACTCCACTTTCACTAGATTTAGTTTGGAATTTGCCACATAAGTCGTTGTGCTCTATTTTGTTAATGTGTTAATTTGTGTGCCTATATGAATAAGGCACACGATAATATTGTATACTAAATTTATTCCAATCCACTGAGTTTCTTTAACCCAACACTTCATATTGGTAATAATTTTCCTGCATCAAATAGAATATTCACTTGACTATTTTAGGATTCTTTACCTTCCAACAGAATCTGATTTGCAGCCTCTGAATGTTTACTTTGACCAAGAAGAGTACTCAAATGATAAATCATCACTTACGAGTTGACAAACAACATTTTAAAGTAACATAAGCTCCATTACCTGACAACATCTTACCTTTCACTCTGGGTGGGTACCCTGTTAGACTCTCATAGTACTCCTCCATTTTAACCATCTCATTTTAATTCTATGTCTTACCTATTTATCTAGCACGCCATTGTCCAGAACAATAAACCTAGAATCTGAATTGTCTAAATCATTTTATTTAAGTTCCTTTGCTGTTGACGGTGGTGTCTAAGAAAACATGCGTGCATCTCGACTATTCCATTGATACAACTTTACCAACTTTCGGAGATAAATCAGAAAGTTCATCAATAGAATTAGAATTACAAAAATAATTTGAACTTTCACAATACATTAAAGTTCTCATCGCTCGTGACGGCCTCATTTCATATAAAATGCAACTCATTCACAAATTGTGTTTCAAACAGAGAAGTAAAATAGAGTTGTACCCTGAGAGCTGCTGTTACTACTACTACTGCCGCCACTATTGAGCGATGCTCGAGCTTCGGTGGCTTGTACCTTACGAAGAAAGGTAGTAAAATGGAAACGCTGTGCATTTAGATGATTGAGACGTCCATTGTAAGTGAAGCACGGAATTCTCTGGCAACCCCTGAATTTCATCTTCTTGTTAAATCTTCGAAGTGGGTTTTGTGGACTGCGTCTTGAATTGGTACACGAATTTCTTGTTAGGGTTGGGGTAAAATTTGATTAATTTTAAGAGATTCAATCATTAGGCTAAATAAATATAAAAGTTGTTATAAAATAAAAACGGTAAAGTAAAGAAATCGAATAGACAGATTGATATATTATTTAATTTCAAACTAATGTATATAATGAACTGAATTGTCCTTTATTTACAGAAGAAATAAAGTTGTTGTAAGCTGATACTACAAGCTCGTTGTAAGCTAGTACTGCAAGTTGTTGTGTAAGCTGCTGTGTAAGCTGTTTGTAAGCTGTTGTGTCAGTTGCTACTGCACCATATATAGATAATCTTCTACCAGGGGTAATATTTATCCATAATTGAGTACCAATAGGATAAATTTCTTCAAGATGCTTATTTTCAATAGAATACTAAATAGATAAATATATTTACGGTGGAGTCCCATATGTATAAGCTTTTTCAGGAAGCTTATTTACAATAGAGTACTAAACGAACATCCACAATATAATATATTTATAACACTTCTCCTTGGATGTTCATTAAAAGATATTGTGCCTCGTTAAAACCTTACTAGGAAAAATCCTAATAACGAAAAAAGAGTACACATATTTAGTAATACGCAATTCTAGCTACCTCATTAAAAACCTTACAAGAAAAATCCCATGGAAAAAACCTTAGTAAGGAAAAAAGAGTACAACGCATATTTCACTCCCCCTGATAAAAACCTTATTCCAAATATTTGAGTGTCTGCATTCCAATCTTGTATACCATCTTCCCAGAAGTTGAAGTTGGCAAAGTGAACAAATCTTTTAGATTGTCACTTGAACGGATTTGTTGCACATCGATGTCACCATTTTTCTGAAAATTATGTGTGTAGAATAATTTTGGTGAAATATGCTTCGTTCTATCTCCTTTTATAAATCACCCATTTAATTGGGCTATGCGTGTAGCATTGTTTTCGCATAATATTGTGGATTTTTTATCACATTCCAACTCATATTTTTCTCGAATAAAATGAACCACTGATCTCAACCATATGCATTCCCTACTTGCTTCATGAATAACTATTATCTCGATATGATTTGAAAAGGTAGCATCAGTATATTGCTTTGTGAAGCGCCATAATATGACAGTACCTCTACACGTAAACACATACCCGATTTGAGATCGAACTTTATGGGGATCAGATAAATAACCTGCATCTGCACAACCAATATGATCTGCACCACCTTTGTTAGCATTAGCAAGATATATAAGTGCACCAATTACACTCAAATAGAGTATTTCAGGACCAAGGAGTTCCTCATCCTCTTCTAGAGGTCGGAACGGATCCTTATTCACTTCATGTGATCAAACACCTATTTGGTGTACTTAATGGGTGTGCTTTGTCCATGTAAAAGCATTTTAAGACATTTTCTGTATAGGCAAAATGATGGATAAAGATCTCGTCTGCTAAATATTCAATTTGCAAACCAAGACAAAATTTTATTTTTCCAAGATCTTTCATCTCAAATTCTTTCTTAAGATATTTAATTGCCTTTTGGAGCTCTGCTGGAGTTCCAACAAGATTTACGTCATCAATATAAACAGCAAGTATAAAAAAATTCGGTGATGACATTTTCTTTATAAAAATACATTGACAAATAACATCATTTATGTAACCTTCTTTCAGCAAATATTCACTGCGGCGATTATATCACATGCGTTTATATTGATTTAAACCGTAAAAAGATCTTTGTAATTTGATCTAGTACATTTCTCGAGACTTTGAATTATATGCTTCAAGCATTTTAAATCCTTCACGAATCTTCATATTGATTTAATCAAATGAGTCATATAGGTTATGACTTGCATTTAAATAGCGTGACATCTTCAGGTGTCTGGACTATATACATGATCCTCACAATCTTTTATAATATCATGCACTATATTGGATTAAATATATCGTTGACGATCATTTTGTATCGGTTCCTAAGAGACATAACTTGTTGAGATCTCATCACTTTCTTTATTTTCAGGTACCTGAATTTCTTCTAGAGTTTCATGAAATGTTATGTCGTGGGCTCTTCTAGAGCTCATTTCCTCCTTATTATGATCATTTTGATCATTTGCTCCTATAATTTTTCAAGGATTGTTACCTTTGGAACTGATCAGTTTACTATGCTTCATGCGTGCAGTAAACTTTATCCTTTGGGGACTTTAATTTTAATAGGAGCATTTGCAACTGAAATATGATATTTAGTTTTGGATCAACAAATGCTTCTGGCATTTGACTTGAATTATCTTTTAAGTGAGGATTATATTAATGATAATTTAATTCATATAGTTGTTGTGTAAGCTGCTTGTAAGCTGCTAATCTAAGCTATTGTGTAAGTTGCTACTGCACCAGATATAGATAATCTTCTACCATAGGTAATATTTATTCATAACGGAGTACCAAAAGGATAAGCTTCTTCAGGAGGCTTATTTCCAATAGAGTACTAAATAGATAAATATATTTATGGCGGAGTCCCATATGGATAAGCTTCTTCAGGAGGCTTATTTCCAATAGAGTACTAAATAGATAAATATATTTATGGCGGAGTCCCATATGGATAAGCTTCTTCAGGAAGCTTATTTACAACGGAGTACTAGATGAACATCCATAATATAATATATTTATAACAAAAGTGAAATTTTGTGTTCTTTTCTATACGTAGTTCATACTTTAATTATGTTCTACTCCTATTATTTAAAAGAGAAAGAATTGAAATATCTCTTTATAATACGAGATTGTTATGGAATAATATGAAATAAAGTAACACAAGAGAAATTTAGAGAGATAATACTAGATCTTTTCTTGATGATATATTCTCCCAATGAGTAGAGAAATCTTTTATTTATAAGAGAGTTGCTTGGTGACCAAGTAACTAGTCTTGGTGGCCAAGTAACAAATCTTGGTGAGCAAATAACTAATTTTAGTGACCAAGTAACTAGACTAGTTTATGACTAAGTTACTCCGAAGTAATTTCATAATACATGGATATCCACTCTTAATATTATTTATAACACTCTCCCTTGAATGTCCATTAGTAGATAATGTAACTCGTTAAAACCTTACTAGGAAAAAACTCAGTGAAAAAAATTATAGTGAACGAAAAAGAGTACACATGTTTAATAATACACTTTTTGATTGTCTCGTTAAAAACCTTGCAAGAAAAATTTAATGGGACAAAACCTTGTAAGAAAAAAAGAGTACAACGTGTATTAACTCCCCCTGATGAGAGTATCAATTCACATCTTTGAGCCTTTGCATCCCAATCTTGTACGCTAGCTTCTTGAAGGTTGACGTCGGTAGAGATTTGGTGAACAAATCAACCATATTATCACTTGAATGGATCGGTTGCACATTGATATCACCATTCTTTTGAAGATCATGTGTGAAAAATAAGTTTGGTGAAATGTGCTTTGTTCTGTCTCATTTTATGAATCCTCCCTTCAATTGAGTCATGCATGTTGCATTATCTTCGTACAAAATCGTGAGTATTTTATCACACTTCAAACCACATTTTCACGAATAAGATATACCCCAACCACACACATTCTAGACTTGCTTCATGAATAGCAATTATCTCTACATGATTAAATGAAGTAGCCACAATTGATTGCTTAGTCGATCGTCAAGACATGGCAGTGCCTCCACATATAAACATATAGCTTGTTTGAGATCGAGCCTTGTGTGGGACAGATAAATAACCAGCATCGGCATAACCAACTAGATCAGGACTGCAATCGTTGCCATAAAATAAGCCCATATCGGTAGTTCCTTTTAGATACCGCAATAGGTGTTTGATTCCATTACAATGTCTCCTTGTAGGAGCAGAGCTATATCTTGCTAAGACATTAATTGAAAAAGTTATGTCAAGCCTTGTAGTGTTAGCAAGATAAATTAGTGCACCAATGGCACTAAGATACGGTACTTCAGGACCAAGGAGCTCTTCATTCTTTTTTTGAGATCAGAATGGGTCCTTATTCACATCAAGTGGTCGAACAACCATCAGAGTACTTAGTAGATGTACTCCATATATGTAAAACTGTTTCAATACCTTTTCTATGTAGGCAAATTGATGAACAAAAATCATGTTTGCCAAATATTCAATTTGCAAACCAAGACATAATTTTGTCTTTCCGAGATCTTTCATCTCGAATTCCTTCTTTAATGTCACGACCCAAACTAACCTTGTCGTGATGGCGCCCATCGTGGAACTAGGCAAGCCGACTCATTTCCAAAATAAACCGATATTTTTATTTTAAAGATAATTTCAAGGCTATCTAATATAAAAAAAACCTTCGTAAAGGAGTTCAAATCAAAACAAAAGTACGGAAAGAAAAGCCCGACATCGGGGTGTCACTAGTTATGAGCATCTACTATAATTTATCTGACAATATCGAGACTAACATAGTCTGAGAAATAGATAAATACAACTAAAGGAAGATAAGAGGGAGAAGAGCAAGGCTGCGATCGCCAGGCAGCTACCTCGCTATCCCCGAGAAAATTTGTAACCAGAATAGTCAACAACCGCTACCGTGTCTAGCTACACCTGGATCTGCACACAAGGTGCAGGGAGTAACGTGAGTACGCTAACTCAGTAAGTAACAACAATAAATAAAGACTGAGCAGTAGTGACGAGCAATAAGCATATAAGGTTCATATCATGAAATCTCAGTAAAATACCACATGCTTTTAAAATCAGGGTTTGAATCAAAGCATCTCGTTTAAACCCAGTTCCAGTAAAATCATTTAAAGATATTTTTCAACAGTTTTCAAACAAAGGCTCAATGCAAGGTAAGCAAAAATGATGAAATCATAAACAGCCCTCCGGGTAAAATATCACTCATATACAGACCCTCGGGCAAACCTCACAGTCACTCGTATACAGACCCTCAGGCATACCTCACAATCACTCGTAAACAGCCCATCGGGCATACCTCACCATCACTCATACCTTCCAGTCACTCAGCACTCGGCACTCACACTCAGTAGGTACATGCGCTCACTGGGG